ATATATATATATATATATATATATATATATATATATATATATATATATAACAAAATATGGAAACGGCACCATTTAGAACGTAAGAGTGGAGATGGAACATCGATTATTGTTTTGTCGGTTTTTGCGAACATAGCAGTGCCCTTATATTCAAGAAACAGTTTTTTTATATCTTCCAGTAGCAGCAAGCATGCTGATGTTAATTTAGTTCAAGGAAAATCCAGAGGTTCTTTGGAGTTTACGTGTTTCCATAGTTTGGGGTGCTACTTTCTCTATTTGGGGGAGGGAGCGAGGCACGTAGTTTGGTAGTTTTCGTGACGTTTCGCAATATCATAGCCCAAAACGAAACGATTACACGAAGGCAGGGCGTTTACTGCATGATAACGGTCGGATATCTTGAGATCAATTTTTGCAGATACCTTTAACATTTTTAATTTCTTCGTTTTTCGAGCCTTGTTCGCCAAACAATCAAAGAAACAATAACGTGTATATTTTAGTGTAAATTGAAACAACTTAAAGAGCAATTTTCACACAGTAACCTAACCTTTTATTATCTTGTAATCTTAGTTTTACAAATCTAATCTTTACTCTTAATATCTTTGGTTTATCGTCATTTCACGTCTAGAAGACGACTTAACTGTACAAATACATCTTAAAATATAATATACAACCGATATATAACATATAAATAAGTTATTATTTTTCTGGACAGTCAGTCAAGTTAGTTATTGTCAGCAATATTCATAGATTTCTTCCATGGCACATCCCTCAATACAGCACTCTTCCACAATATCAGTCTGGGCGCTTCTTGCTTGTCTTCCTGCATGTCTTAGGGACCGTTGGTACTGAAGAAAGCTCAAAGCTTCGTTTTCGTCCATTATTGCTGATCCTAACGACATCGGAAATTACGAGAGTTAGCCAAACGGAAATATTGTCGCGGAATAAATATCTACGTAGCTGTTATAAATAAATTGTAAGTGATGTCCCAACTTGTAGAAGGACTGCGTCTGCTGACACTGAAAATGCTGAAGAATGGCTGATTGGCAACCATCAAATATTGTTGATTTTAAAAACTGCTCCTATGTTCTTGTTACAAAAACAGCAACAGAAGCTACAAAATCGATTATAAGGTATGACCGGAAGCTCTGTGATCCACAAATGTGTTTAAACTCTTGGTTTATTGATGTTTTTGGGCTGAGAAGGAGTGGCAGCCATTTTGGGGCTTCACGGTCGTTGCACTACTACAATGTAGTATTTTATTCTACTTGTGTTTTATCACAAATGCTGCAATCTGACTGGCTGCCCCCCTCGCCATCTATTTTGTGACATATAGTGAGTAGAGCGAGTACCCGAACAATTTATGGTTGTAAACAAAAAATATGTGTATGTATACATACGTATATAAAAATAAAATAAAAACAGAAGTTTCACTTCGCCCGTATCAGTCATAACGCGATAGAAATCTTGAACTAATTATGTATTGTTAATTTAAAAAAATTGACATTCACTTACTGCGTGTCCTTCTCCATGAACAGCTCGCGGTTACAGCGTCGTTGATTTGATCTCCGCAAAATTTGGCAATTACTGGGCGATTTCCGACCTCACTGACTTTATACAACTGTTCAGCTGTTAAAATAAAAGATAAGAAGTCGAACATTAACAATGATCGTTAAGTAAAGAGGCCGTCTGCGCAACCGTGTTTGCCTATCGCGATAATACTAAACACGCTCAAGGAAACGACACCACAAGGATTGAACTTTTCCCGTCTGATGTTAAGCGCCTTGATGAATGTTTAAGTATTTATATTGGTGTTGAATAGAGTCGAGTGGGTGGCTTCTGGCAACAGATATTTTTTGTTTTCTTTGATCTTTGTAAGGTGAAATATAGAACCAGGAAAGATCCTATAAAAAGTCACAGAATAGCTGTCGTGAATATTAAATAGAACGTCGTAAGTTTTGCAAAATATGCTTCGTAGCTTCACATAAATACCAACATTCTACAACTGAGATATTTTCTTCTGAATTTATATTCTGAGAGATTATTTTGTACTAAAGGGTATCCCTTAAAACAGGTTTTCAGTTCTACTGTAGTTTCCAACAACGGATCAAGAACGTCAATACATCTGTAGCTCGAAATATGTTTCAGTTTGCAGTCTGGTAAAAAGAACTGAATTTGTTCAGTTTTAAGAAGATCTATTCAGAAAATGAAAAATAAATTAAAAGATTTTGTTTTTAGGTCCTCCAAGAGGAAAAGGAAAATTATTGATTGGTACTTTAGTGCACTTTTCGTTTGGTCGTGTTATTTGATTTGTGTCAGGTTCAGTTGATTGACTAATAAACCGATCAATCGATCAATTCCAATTGGTTTTGTGATAGCTCAATTTTAGCCTTTCTAGAGAGGATGTGAAAGAGCGGTTGATTGCGTCCCGGCTAAGGGAACGTAAAGAGACGATTTTAAGTGAAAGAATGTGAAAAACTTTACAGGATGCTAACGCTGACGAGATTTGATTTTCGTAATTTCTTTCACAGGTCGTGAAAAAAAGAAAACTGCCTTTAGGTATTCCATGCTTCTTTCGAAGTTTGGTGATGTACTTGTACATAATTATTATCACTACTTTCTTACCTTTTACAACTTCCAGGCAGAAAATGATAGCCACAAGGGCGAAAGCTCTCCAGAAACATGAATTCTTCATCTGACGATGTAGGAAAAAGGAGGAAAATCAATTTTAGCGAAAGGTAAATCACCAAACTGATATGCCAAGCACACAATAGGTACAATTCAACAAACTTTGTTAATAAGCTATCTCTCCGAGCTCGGATTGCGAACGCAGCCTTTTACTAGATATATGTCGTCAAAAGTTGGACGTTTCTAACGCTTGAGGATTGTTATAAATAAACTGCTAAGCGGATATACGTTGGTTTAAAGACAGCGCATTCGTTCTCTACACCTCAGCTGTCACATATAGTGTACTTTAAAACCACCTTGGGCTAATATTAACTTAATTTGAATAGCACTGAATCATTCCTTTTTCAAAGGTTTTGAAAAGAGCTGAAGTACGCATTGTTAGAAATCCGCCCCCAACATGAGTGCATAGCAGCAAATTGGTTTTTTTTTTCCGAACAAGAGTCAAAGCGAACGCTTTCTACGGACTGGAATTGGAGGGAAAAAAAAACAACCGAAGTTAGATGTTGCTTTAAGTATCGCTCTATAAAAAAAATTTACCTGGCATCCGTGCTTTTTTAACCTAGTAAATTAATTTGTTTTACTGACATATTTACAATTCATTTGCACAAATAGCCACGCTTTTATTTTACAAACATTTCCGGAACGTATCGTGTCAGTTTTCATTTTTATCCACTCTACATGTGATGCATAATTTTGTCACGTAGACTTGTGCGCTTAACTCACGAATTCAAGTTTGTGGCCCTCCCTCCCATCTTACGCATTAATATCATTCTCGACAATAACTTCAATAACTTGAGACGAAAGTAAAAACGCTTCTCGTTCTTCTTTGAAGACCTTCGATCTCATGCACGGGTTTCATAGATGTTGAAGCTGTTACGTAGATAGAACTCACGGCTGCCTTTCGTAGCAAACAAATTGCTTATGACATAATCGTCCAATATTATGAAATTAAACTTTTTTACGGTATTTTTGAAGTCAAACGTTAAATTAGATTTTACAAATATCGATCGGTGACAAAACGAAAGTGCCTTGTTTCCAGCGGGCGGCCTCGTAATACTTACGTCAGTTGTTTTAAAGAGAACTGACATTAGTAATCGATCAGGAAAAAACTGAAGTGAACCAGGAAGTTTCACTGTCAGGTTATAAATCAAATTGCGGTTTATTCGCTCACAGTTTCGTTCGTTGCTCTGAAAACGTTTGAAATAATCGACGGTCAGTTATAATGACTCAGCTTTTATCAGTGCAGAATTCGATAAGTGGCTCGCTGACTTTTGGTTTCTTTCCTTACGACCGCAAAACCCTGAAAATGGCTTGCGGTATCATTATCTTTGAATTTAGCTTATAGAACGAAAATGGGCTGAACTTGAACAAAGTCCAAATTGATTTTTCATGTTCTCACCCCCTGTGAGATTTATATTTATCAAAGTTCTGGTTTCGTCAATTGTGCTAGATGAAGTAACTATGTAATCTTCGTCATGCCTGAAGTTTCTCGTCAGAGAAATTATGGTCCGAAAGTGGGAAATCGTAGACCCGAAGGCACTTGTGATCCCATTGTCACAACGCTCTCAAGAGAAGACGTTCGAAGTGGCCTTCGCCTATACCGTACCTATCGTTTCGAGAAAGCGAGCGACAATCAGATTTCAGACTAGAAAGTGTGTGACTTAAGTACTTCCACCGACGATTTTAAACATCTTATGATTTTGAAAGGACTACCTTGTCAATTTTTTGATGGAATCTCGTGGTTTGGTAGAATCTCAAGTCGTGAAACTCGTCCTTGAATGGTGTTTGATTACCCTACATCTTGTCAATGCTATTAACATAGTTGATGTTATTAGAGGTAACAGTCCCGCTGAGCTGATAGGAAAATTTTAGAATCCAGGAAGCCAGCCATTTAAAAAACGTTTTGCCAGCGCTTGTGCTGATTGGAACAACCACTGACCATGCTTATTTCTCTTTCTGTAGAAATCTCTATCTCCCACGTCGAACTACAATTAATCATGTACCGCGTGCAATTGCTACTACGGGTGAAATACCTCTTACGGGATTTTGTAGTTAATATTACATTGTTGTAGAATATGTTATTGTAAGGCTGCTTTAAACCGCATGTTCCAGATTTATTTGGATAAACTCCATTAAGGGATAACGGAGTACATCAAAGCTTCACCGCTGTGAAGACTAAGAACGCTGCAATTAACTTCAGTTTGAAATAACATTCGTTGACTACCGCTTGCTTTTAGCTGTAATCTGGTTGGTTAAATTGCTCACTTTTCTAAGAAGATTTAAGGTTAATCCAGCCGCCAAAGAAATATTGAAGGTTTTGTCTGGCATCAGGGTGAATTAAAAATTCCTCAATTGAAAAATTATCCGACTTACGTGAACTTTGATGTGTGCTGGGTTAAACGTGGGGTGAAATATTGAGATGCTAGTAGTGACAAACTCTCTCGCTTTATTTGTAGAACGGCTTTTAGCAAAAACGCGTTGAAAATGTAGAAAAGAAGAGAACGAAAGACAACAGTAACATCAGATTCCGTGTGCAGAAAGAACCACATAAAACTTTTGTTGAGAGAAACCTTTTCTAATCAAAGTTGGCTTTATCCGTTGATTGTAAGAATCCTTTTCGCTATGCTGTATTTGAACGAGGACATCTGCGGAAATCCGGTGGAAGTCGTATGAAAGCGGTTGTGAATACAAAGAAAATAGGTCGGTTTACGCTAATTGAAAAACTCTCTTATTTATAAAAAAAATGAATTATCTTTTGTTCGTTATGGAAAAAAAATAGCGAATGGGTTTTAATTACAGTTCACGACTCATTCTCTTGTAAATTTGCATTTAGTTGATTAGAGAAGACTCTATAACCTCATTAACAGAAACATTATATCAGACAACATCATTTTTCTTGTATTTTCAAAATTTTGAAATATACTGCTTCCTGCATTTCGAGCTTGTTCTTGCGATATTGTAAAACACTCTATAAACGCAGATTTGGTGCGAGTGCTTTCTACCATAGATTCTTAGCCGAGCACAAGGCACGTTTTTGCTTTGTTTTTGGTCCGCGTGACTGTGTTTTTCCTTCACCTGTCACGTGGACTTAGTCCAGGACTCAAGATTTTAACGTGTTTTGGTAATAAGTGCAATCTGGTCGATTTTGATCTTATTTCGGCCAACCATGAATTAGAGAAAAAATGGATTGTTTGGAAACAGTCGTTTGGACTTTCTCAGAAACGTTCGTCAAAATCTAAATATTGCGTTGAATTGTGTGGTCTTCCTTTGTAACCCAGTAAATTACATGAAATAAGAGTTCTTTCCTCACCCCCCGACAAGAAATGACCTAATAGTGAAATTTTTACCTCACCCTTCCAATACTCTGAAAAAGCTTGCAATAAAACTTTCGACATTTTTAAGTATGTTCATATCGGAATTCGCATTATCGTATGGCTTATGTTTTCATACCACTGGTCTTGCTGCGAAAATGGCTGCTAGACATGGCTGTTTAGGAATTCGATAGAACAGTCTTGAATCACGAGCACAAATATCACGTACCTTGAATATAAACTCTTCTGAGCGTGCTGCGAACCCTCCCTACTAAAGCTCTTTGAGTGGTTTGTAGAAGCCTTTTAGTGGCTGTAGTGTTGACGCTGCTAATGTGTGATTAAAACTAGCCAGCCGCAAAAGGGTTTGTCTCTTTTATATCCTGAGAGGAAGGGCGTCGGGGCCAAAAAGTAAAATAGACTGGGAAATACCGTTACTTCCTGTTACGTTTTTTTATCGGCGAACTCAAGGTCACATCTGCACCGCACCGCCGCACCGTCGGTATTTTTTATTATTAAATTTCAAGTAAACTTATAAATAGATGAGGACATCATAGAAGGCTGGAGATGTTATTTTCTTTCACTTCGTGCGGTCCAAAACAAGACCTACCTCAAACTACATTCTTGCGAAATAACAATCCAGGACATTCCAGAATAGACGGTGTGAAGTATGTCACGTCAGTGACAAATGTAAACTTGGAGTATGACTTCACGACACGAATACTCTCCCAAAAAGCAAACGAATTAAAAAAATCAGCATCGACAGCTGGGATTTTACAAATCCTCTACTCATTAATATTATCTTATCAATGCAATTCTGGACAAGACGAAATCGATTAATGGTCTTTAAAATATTGTTGTTCGGTTTGTGGCATTCCTGGCATTACGATACCACAACGTCACGCCAAGTCACTGTGTCACTGTCACGTAGTGTAGCTAATGAGTAAAACCAGCCATTAACCGGATTTAACTGGCTGTGTTTACAAATGGGATTAGCTCTGAGCGCTGAGTAAATATGCTTGGAAGAATTTGATTTGGTGGATTCTCTTCATCATTCTATGTAGGGGCGGCGTTCATCATATATATTTTTTATCTTGGTTTGCGGAATATTGCTGTGACGACGTTCCGTCAAACTTGTGAGTTGAGGAATAGTTTTCGAGTAAATTTTTCGCCTAGATATTGAGGCGAATATTTCTTGATTTTTTATGAAAGGTATTTCAGACGGATCTAACATAATAGGCTAAAGTTTCCTGTTAACGAGAAACAACTGTTTAGAGCAATCAACTGCATTCGGAACGCGTGCTTTATTGCTCTTTCAGTTCAAATTGTTTTGGCACAAAAGATGGCTTTTCAAGCGAAACTAATCAACATTTTAACTGATATGAATCAACGGATCATTTATATTTACAAATTTAGTCACTTTTGTATCACTTCAATTCCATCGGCTGGCTGTGGAACACGCGCTCCTGCGTCAAACCCCCGCAATATTTTGCGGGAAAACTGATGAAATTTGTTAGTATGTAAGAGTATTTACTGGGTGTCTCTTGTTTCGTATGATCTGGTAGTGTAAAGCAGATCAGATGGCTTGTTCTCGGAAGTGTAATAAAGCAGGATTCTCTGTTTTTGCTATTGATCACAAGACTGTGATGACAGTGTCAAATATTATCCGGCAGCTGTTTTCCTCTTTCTTTGGGTGTTT